ATAGTGGCTAAAGCACTTGACTGCTAACCAGAAGGCTGGCGGTTCAAACCCACCAGCCACTCCTCGGAAGGAAGGTTGGGCAATGCTACTTCCGTAGTGATACTGCCTCGGAAACCCAAGGAGGGGTCGCTATGAGTCGGGGGCGACTTGACGGCAAATAACAACCACCACCATGATGTCTGGAACTCATTATTAAATGAGTATGGCCAAAAAACTGGTATGTACTTAAAACTATTTAGACAGAGAAGGAGAGAAAAAGCAAGTGTGGTAAAATTTTAAAAAAGTGTGGTGCTGAATGACTGGGTATGGCTTTTCCAGCCACAGTCTTTATAACTCCCACTGGATCGCTGGGTGTGACCATGTAAGTAAGGTGTGTAGAACTCTGATGTTGGGATTGGTTAGTTCTGTCACTCTGCCAGCCCTCCTAGAGGCAGAGGGGGGATCTCACTGCCAGCTAGAGAGAAGAGCTGGAGGTGGAGTGGCGTGTGTCCTTGGACCTGTGCTAGACTTCCCGGGCTGAGATGCTCCAGCTGAGAGACACAGAGCAGAGACAGCGGCTCGACGGACGATACATCGACATACGTCTCCATGTGCTGCAGACAGATCCACAAATAATAGCGTACAGGGGACAAAGTGTGACAACTTCTTAGCCAAGCACCTTGAGGGAATGAGTCACTGGGCCTGGGGGCGCAGGAGTATATAGTCCAGGCGGGCACCAGGGTCAACCGGCACAAGAGTCCCCAAATACAACGTTCTACCTCCTACTTCAGTGCGTAGAGACGGGTCTGAAAAGCTTGTGAGAGGCCATCTAAGGTGCAGCTATTGGTTGTCTCTCTCCGTCCGAAGCAAAGAGAAGTGAAGAAAGTCAAAGACACAAGGAAACACTCGGTCCAATGGACAAATGGGGCATGTGAACCCCAGCCTCCGTGACGCTGAGACCAGAAGAATTAGATGGTGCCCCGCTACCGTGACCGACTGATCTGAAAGGGATCACAGTGGAAGGTCCTGGGTGCAGTGGGGAAGAAATGTAGAAGAGAACTCAAAGTCATATAAGAGACCAGGCTCTCTCGTCAGAAGGTTGGTGAAATCCC